TTCTAGTCCGATTGGTAGTTGGGGATGTGACCATGAATGTGATCAGTGTCTATGCCCCTCAGGTAGGTCTTAGTGAGAGCGCCAAGAGGCAATTCTGGGAAGATCTGGACACCTTGGTCAGTACGGTGCCTGCCAGCGAGAAGCTCTTCGTAGGAGGAGACCTCAATGGACATGTGGCGCGACTAATATAGGTTTCGAGAGAGTGCACGGAGGATTTGGGTATGGTAGTAGGAATGAAGAGGGGGAGGGTGTGTTGGACTTTGCGTTGGCCTACGACTTGCTGATAGCGAACACCCTCTTTAGGAAGAGGGAATCTCACTTAGTGACCTTTCATAGTGGACGTCACTCAAGTCAGATCGACTTTATCCTTGTAAGGAGGGAGGATAGACGCGCTTGCGTAGATTGCAAGGTGATACCTGGGGAGTGTGTTGTCCCCCAGCATAAGCTGGTGGTGGCGGACTTTCGATTCCGAGTACGTGTCCACCGGGACAAATGTGCCAAGACCGTGAGAACGAAGTGGTGGAAGCTTAAAGGGGAAGTGGCACAGACGTTTAGGGATAGGATGCTAGGCGAGGGGCCTTGGTAAGAAGGAGAAGATGCAGATGACATGTGGCTAAAGATGGCAACATGTGTACGGAAGGTGGCTGCAGAAGTACTTGGTGTGAGCAGGGGAGGCAAGCAGGATGCGAAAGACACTTGGTGGTGGATTGACGAGGTGCAAAGGGCTATTCAAGAGAAGAAAGAGTGTTTCAAGCGTCTTCATCTCGACAAGAGTGCAACCAACATTGAGAGCTATAAAATAGCGAGAAGGGCTGCAAAGCGTGCCGTGAGTGTAGCGAAGGGTCAGGCCTATGATGACCTCTATCAGCGCCTAGGCACGAAGGAGGGGGAGAAGGACATTTATAAGATAGCTAGGATTCGGGAGAGGAAGACAAGGGACATCAACCAAATCAAATGCATCAAGGATGAGTCGGATCGGCCACTGGTGAAGGATGGGGAGATCAAGGACAGATGGCGAGAGTACTTAGACAAATTGTTTAATGGGGAGAGTGAGGGTCCTACCCTGGAGTTGGTTGACTCATTTGAGGATACCAATAGATGCTTGGTGAGGAGAATCTGAGAGGCAGAGATCGGAGATGCTATGAAGAGAATGAAGGGAGGTAAAGCAATGGGCCCTGATGGTATTCCTATTGAGGTGTGGAGATGTTTGGGCGCCAGAGCGTTAGTATGGTTAACTAAGCTTTTTAACCTCATCTTTCGGTCAAACAAGATGCCTAATGAATGGAGGAGAAGTACTTTAGTACCGATCTTCAAGAACAAGGGTGATGTTCAAAGTTGTGGTAACTACCGTGGGATTAAGTTGATGAGCCATACGATGAAGCTCTGGGAGAGGGTTATCGAGCATCGCCTACGACGAGTGACGAGTGTGACCCAAAACCAATTTGGGTTTATGCCTGGAAGGTCGACCATGGAGGCAATTTTCCTAATACGACAATTGATGGAGAGATATAGGGACCAAAAGAAGGACTTGCACATGGTCTTTATCGATCTTGGGAAGGCTTATGACAGAGTACCGAGGAATGTCATGTGGTGGGCCTTAGAAAAGCACAAAGTCCCATCTAAGTACATTACCCTCATCAAGGATATGTACAAGGATGCGATGACGTGTGTTCGAACATGTGGGGGCGATACCAGCGACTTCCCAATTAAAATAGGACTACACCAGGGGTCAGCATTGAGCCCTTATTTATTTGCCTTGGTGATGGATGAGGTCACAAGGGACATACAAGGTGATCTCCCTTGGTGTATGCTCTTTGCTGATGATATGGTGCTAGTTGACAAGAGTAGGGCCGGGGTAAATAGGAAGTTAGAGCTGTGGAAGGACACGTTAGAGTCGAAAGGCTTCAGACTTAGTAGGACGAAGACCGAGTACATGACATGCGCTTTCAGCATGGCTACTCATGATGATGGTGATGTTAGCCTTGACGGGCAAGTGGTGGCCAAGAAGAAGACTTTCCGATATTTAAGATCGATGCTACAAAGGATGGCGACATTGATGAAGATGTTAGGCATAGAATTGCAGCCGGTTGGTTGAAATGGCGCCAAGCTTCGGGCGTTCTCTGTGATAAGAGGGTGCCACAAAAGCTAAATGGTAAGTTCTATAGGACAGCGATTCGCCCGGCGATGCTATACGGTGCTGAATGTTGGTCTACAAAAAGGCAACATGTCCAACAACTAAGTGTAGCAGAGATGCGGATGTTGCGTTGGTTTTGCGGGCACACAAGAAGAGATAGAATCCGAAATGAGGATATTCGTGATAGGGTCGGGGTGGCCCCAATTGAGGAGAAATTGGTTCAACATCGGCTGAGGTGGTTCGGACATGTCCAACGGAGGCCTCCTGATGCACTGGTGCGCAGGGGAGTTCTACAGCGGGTCGATGTTGTTAAGAGAGGTAGAGGTCGGCCTAAACTCACTTGGGAAGAGTCGGTTCAGAGAGACCTTAAAGATTGGAATATCCCAAGGATTTAGCGGTGGATAGGAGCGCTTGGAGACTAGCGATCAACGTGCCGGAACCGTGACTTTTGCTCCTTTTTCTTTTGCTCCAATTTTTTTTTTTTTTTTTTTTTTTTTTTTTTTTTTTTTTTTTTTTTACTACTGTTTCTATTGGGGTTCATCTCTAGCCTACCCCAACTTGTTTGGGACTAAAAGGCTTTGTTGTTGTTGTTGTTGTTGTTGTATTATTTAAAGTTTATAACGAAGGATACTTGATACTTTGATTAATATTTTTCAATTATAAATATTATTTTTTATTTTATTATACATATACTAGAATATAAACTATATAAAATAAAAATAATAAATATTAAATCATTTATTATAAGTTCAAAAATAAGAATTTTACTGAAAAATAAAATTTATATTAAAATAAATAAAATAATATAAAAACTAGATAAAAGACATAATTACAAATCATATATAGTTGTTAAATTCAAAATATTTCATTTCACAAAAATACTACATTAATAATATATTATAAATAAAAGTAACATATATTTTATTTTATTTTTTATATTATAATACTTCAACTCATGAAATAATAATTTAATTTTTATATTAAAAATTATTTTATATCTATATTTTTAAATTTATTGAATTGAAAGTATTAATTTATTTATATATTAAATAATAATATTATTTATGTATTATTTTTAATTACCCATTAAGTATTATTCAATTTAGTATTTATTTTATTTTATTTTAATTATATTTTCGTATATTTAATCTATTATGTGACTATTTTATTTTTTATTTGATAAAATTTTTCTCTGTTTGTGTCGTATTAAATAATTGTGAACGTTTTGGTCCATTGTGGTTCATTGTCTAATGATGGTGGCAAAGTGGTTCATTGTCTTGGTTGTGAACGTTTTGGTCCAAGTTCGAACCTTTGGAGCGGCCAGATACATTTATTTTTTGCCAAACAATAGTTGAAAAGCAAGAGACAAAATAGTAAATTTTAATTATAAAATAAAGGGTTAATTGCTAAATAAACCTTAACCTTTTTGCCTTTGGCAATTTTATCCCAATCTTTAGGTAATTGCAATATAATCTCGACCTCAATTTACTTATTGCAAATTTGGGTGCAGAGTGATTGATTTTAGGGATTTGTGGATCGATTTTGTGTCCAAGTCTTCCATTGACACGGGTTTTTATGCCATCCACGTAGCAAGTTGACAATTTCCATGTATTTAATGTATATCCACGCACAAAGCCGAAAATTCCACGTCAATGTAAGCTACCGTGATGAGTCTCCTCCTAGATCTAGAGTAAACCGGTAAATATGAGCTCTGATCTATTCGAGTCGCCTTCAAAATCGACCAGTTTTTTGAAGTTCCGACTGGTTTTAGGTTCGAGTTGCAATAAGTAAATTGAGGTCAGGATTATATTGCAATTACCCAAAGATTGGGATAAAATTGCCAAACGCAAAAATGTTAAGGTTTATTTAGCAATTAACCCTAAAATAAAAATGTAAGAAAAAAAAAGAATATTTTTCACAGTATGTAGTGCACGCTATGTCAAGTTGGATGGACATGGGAGAATCGTGCAACTATTAGTTAATATAATGGGCTTTGACGAAATTTTTAAAATACCAAAGGAAAACGCGGACATTTCGTATAATACAAGGGGTACTATCTATTTTACTCAAAATTATACTAACCCTTTCTAGGAGTGGGAAGATAGTCAAACTCTTTCCGACTCAATTTCATCTAGCAGTTGGAGATTTTGACTCCTATAGCAAGGATAAAATTGAGCTCTAGATAATATTCCTCCACTGATTCACATATCTCCTTCAGTGGTGGTTGAGATTGTTGCTTCACCGATTGAGATTTCTCCTTCGATTGTTCAGATTCTCCTTTACCGCTTCACATTAAGAATTTCTCCTTCACTAATTGAAATATCTCTTTTGCTAATTTAGGCTTATTTTTAAAGGATTTCACTTTTGTCCTCACCATCTAAACAATTTTGATTCCGTCGAATGACGAGAAATGGAGAATTGAAGATTTAGATTTTTTTAGCATCATTGTCGATCTAGGTTTAACAATTGAGAATGAAATATGTGGATTTAGGTTTAAGAATTAGGGGTAAACTATCATAAGTTTAGCGTCTTTCTCTAACCAAGACAAATAAACCACGATCACGTCGTGTCAGATAAAATACAAGCCACGATACGCCAAGTCATTTTTTTTTTTATCAAATGCACATATAAGAAAAAGGACAAAATTGATTAAACCTATTTAAAAATTGTGTGAATTTTTGGATTTTCCAATTTTAAATTTTGGCCCAATGTTTTATATATAGGCTGCGACGAGTTGAAGAGACTCGAATAGATTCATCTCACGTAAAGTTTTTTTTTTTCCCCTTCTAAATCTCTCCATCTTCATTTACCGTTTGGAAAGCTTTCAGTATTTGAATCTGTGTTGAAACAGAGTTGAGAAGAAGAAATGTCGGGCCCACAGCCTCAGTTCATGACGAATGGTTGCAACAGAACTCACCCCAATGACGATATTGAATATGATCAGATTGTTGTATCCGATGTGAGTGTTCTCTATTTTCTCCTCTCTTCCTTTTCTTCAGATTGAACTAACTGGGAACTCTTGTGTTTCATATATTAATTGTTAATTAATTTTAAAGGAGACTGATTTCAGTTCTTCAAATATTAATATTATCAGTTGAACTATGCTTAGGAAATATCAAAACTTATTTGTGATTTGAAATTTAATCTCCATTTTTTCTGTGTTTTTTTTTCACTCATCTGTTTGGACTTCACAGCTCTTTTTTTTTTTTTTTTTTTTTTTTTT